GAGGCCTGATTCATCATTTGCAGAGATTTGAGTTACAAAGAGAAATACCACCCCCCTCCCCCTCCCACCCCGCTACCCCGCCGCCATGGATGCAGGTTTAACATTGTGACACCCAGTACAATCGCTGAGAATGCCTTTCAAGGAAAACATGCTGCTGTGTGAACCCAGTGGGCAGACGCAGAAACAGGAAGGCTGAGATTAGAGTCGGCATTACAGTTCTTTTGATGTTTTCTGAGCCAACTAGGGAAACCGGTGAGGCTCTGAGAGAGCTGATCAAAGGTACCTCTGCAGGTTCAAATTAACAGGAGTTGGTGAATCAGGGCAGCACCTGCCTGTGAATAGAAACATATTTCACCAAATAAAGTTAATCTTTTAGTCGAGCTTGGAGGTGGCAGTTCTTTTATAAAACTTATATAGGCCAAGTTTATTCCTGCTGTATCTTAGGTCTCCAAAGGGAAAAGAATGCTCTGCTGTATTTTGTTCACAAAGAGGTGTTTATTTATTTTAAAGCTGATCTTTGCCCCGTGCTGTATTTCATGTAAGACCTTTGGCTCTAATTGACATACATTGTTTTAGAAAAGGTGGCTGTTTGGGGGTTGGAGTTAAAGAGTGGGAAGGCATTCCCATATAGCTTTACTTTCCTTTTAAAATTACAACTGTTGTTCAGTTAAACTATACCCTTGTCCCAGAGCAATCTTAATCTCTATTTGGCAAAATATAGCTTAAAAGACAGAGGAAGTTGGAAGGAGCAGCACAGAGTAACTATACATACTAGGATAAGCCTAAAGATTCTCAATCAAAATAAAAAAGAGAAGTGTGCTAAAAATGGTAGTAGCCCGAGGTTGCAGATTCAAAAAGCCACTAAGGGAAGGGAAATTAAATACATTGAATACCAGCTTAAGTTTAAGACTTACACGGAGAAGCTACAAAACATTTCTTGGCATTGCAGAGTTCATTATTTCAGGCCCTGGCTGGCTAGCCCTAAGGCTTAGGACACCAGGAGGATGTGTCAGATCCTGCAAGTCTCCTGAGAAGCAAAGGTGGCCAAAGGGAATGGAATGGGCAAGGGGAAGGTGGTTAATAAACAGCAGAACGGTAAACTGAGGTACTTGGAAGATAAAACATGTATATTATGATCATCTGCCAAAGCAACCACCAAATCCTTACAGAACAGGGTAATAAAAGTGGGATGGTTCCAAACTGTTTCATTTCAGGCATAGTGTGTGGAAAGTGTAAGCTTACAGAATCACCCCATGGACGTGGGCTCTATTGCAGCTGGTAACCAGACAAGCTGAACATTGATGAATCTGTTTCCTTAGATACACAATGGGAGTAGCATCTCATCAGGGTTGTGAGGATTAAATGAGATATGCACATAAAATGTTCAATTAATATAATATAGAGTATAAAATATTATATAAATGTTATATATTGTCCATTTCAAATTAATCTAACATTTTCATTTCAATATGGGTTTACAGATGACACCTGATAACATCATAATGGGAAGGGCTGTCGATTAGATAATTTAAAACACATGGTGTTCCATATTGTGGAGGTTTACTATATCCAAAGGCTGGGGGGAGGAAATGTTAGTGTCATACACACTGGCTTTTCACACAATCATTTAAGCAATCAAATTTCCAAGCAAAAAATCATTGGGAAGAAATTTAAAGCAACAGAATTTTAACGCTCTCCTCTTAATTGGCCCAAGGAGACCTAACACTAGATCTCTGAGCGTTGCTTTTAACTCTCCAATTTCCAGAGATAAAAGTTTATTTTTCGGTTTGATACAAATGCATGTTACCTTCCTGCAGTGTTAGATCTGTTAGTGGCTTGGCTTTACATATTATATGGACTACTAGTATATGTATACTATAGGGTAATCTCAGTGCCACTTTCAAACTTATGTTAAATCTAATTGGATAAGTTAACTTGGGTGACAATTTTACAGAAAATTACATTTCTTTCACAAAGATGCCCCAACAAAAAGACTGCAAAAACAAAAATTTTGTCTGGAAAGAGACTCCTAATATTCTACTTATGAAGAGAAACAATGGCTAAAGAATTATTTAGGGTAGTGGTTCCCAAACTTGCCTATGCATTAGCATCATCAAAGGAGTTTTCCAAAATTTCTAAACCCATCCCATAGCTTTTGTGGGGGTTTTGGAAAGTTTTCCAGGTGATTCCAATGTGCAGATAAGTAAACAAATACAAATTATCCAATCCGCAAAGAGAACCAAGATTGAAGAAAAGCAGAACCTCAGAGGCATGTAGGACAATCCCAAGCGATCTAATATAAACCTACTGGAATTCTAGGAGAAAACAGGAAAAAAAAAAAATGAAGAAATGGCCACAACGTTCCAAACGTAAACTTACTGATCCAAGCAGCTCAACAAACCTCCAGCATTGTACTGAAATACGATAATAAAAGAGCCAGAGAAAAAGACATTACATACAAGAGAAGAACGATACAAAAGACAACTGTTGTTTCATCAAAAACAGTGGAAGCCAGCCCTGGCCAGTGTGGCTGTTTGTTGAATGTTGTCCCATCCATGGAGAGGTTGCTGTTCAATTCTGGGTCAGGGCACATGGCGGGGGTTTCTGGCTGGATCCCTAGTAGGAGGCATGCAAGAGGCAGCCAATCAATGTTTCTCTCTCCCTCTCCCTTCCTCTCTCTAAAAATCAATAAAAACATATAAATATTTTTAATAGAAACATATTAAAAAACAATGTAAGCCAGAAGATAATAAATGTAATAATGAAAAAATAGAAAAAGATTATCTACCCCTAATTCTATCTTTAATGAAACTACCCTTAAAAGATAAAATATTTTCAATGAACAAAAACACAATTTGTCACCACAAGCCCACACAAGTCTCAAGAAATTCCTTTAAGCTGAAGCAAAATGACATGTCACTTGGACTGACACAAATGTAGAAACTCAAAAATGGTAAATATTTAGCAAATACAAAAGACTATATGTACACTCTCTTTTTTCTTTTTGTAATACATTTAACTGTTTAAAGGAAAAATTATAACATTGCCCTGTTGGATTTATCATGTAGCCATAATATATATGGAACACAAAGGAAAATAGGAGAGAATGAATGGAACTATACTGTTGGAAGGTTATATATGAAGTTGTATATTAATGCTAAGTAGATTGTAATAAGTTAAAGATATATATTGTAATCCCAGAGCAACCACTATAGTCAACTGTAATTGAACAAAAATTTTTTTAAAAAACTAAAGTATAGTTTGTAAACCAATAAAAAAGGTAAAACCAAAATACTAAAAATATTCATGTAACCCAAAAGGCAGGAAGAGTAACAGAGGAAGAAAAAACCCCAAATGGTAAATAAATCCAAACATATCAGTAATTACAGAAATGTAAATCAACTGAACACACCAAGTAAAAAAGGCAGATTAGGCTAAATAAAAAAGACCCAAATGTATGCTATCTAAAAGGGATGAACTTTAAACAAAATAGGTTAAAAATAAGCAAATGAAAAGATATACAAATGTTAAATGCAAATACTAAGCATAAAAATAACTTCTACTTGGTTTAGATTTTAAAATTTTAAAATATATTTCTTTCCAATTACATTTATTAAAAAAATTACATTATCAATCAACTTCAAGAGGGAAAAAATAAAACAGGCAATTTGGGGTGATTTTTTTCTTAAACCTTTGGGTTTCATTTGACCCTTGACATTTTCTTTAATCACTCATGGCTTCTTCTCTCCCCTTTCTGGTATGATTCATAAAACATCTTAACTGGGAAAGCCTTTTATGATTTGCTGGTCTCCCTTATCTGTACTCAAAGTCTTTCAGCCTTTGATCTAGCTATTAAAGCAACTAATAATTCTCAGTCACCTCTATCTCATTTTTATTTGTGTTTATTTTGTTCCTTTTATATACTCTTATTTCAGTTTTGGTTTTATCTATTTATATGACCCTGAGGTGGGATCAGTCTACTTGAGGCTGATGTGCCCTTCAAAACTGTGCCCTTACCGGGTTATAGCAGCACACCTTTCCCTCACCTATTTTTCTTACACCTCCTGGTTGTAAGTTCTTTTCTTCCATTTTCAAAACGTCTTGGAGTTTAGCTCTTTCTACAGTAGGGACTTTCTAGTTTCAAAATTAGGCAAACTTAAATTTGGAAGAATTTTTCTATATTCTTTAAACAATGCTAAAGCTCTGATGCTTCCTCAAACTTAGACAAATCATAGCTGGGTCAGGGCTAGAAAAAAACATGAGTGTCATAACAAAGAAACCTCATACTAAGCATGACTACAAAGAATGGTTTTGTGGCATGTGACAAATCTGCTCAACCGTAAGTGAAAGAAACACCACCAATTCCCTTCTGGCCATCCTGCTTCATAAATAAAGTCTAGCCCAACAAACTCCGCTTGTGTATGGCACCATTTTCTCACAAACTGTGACCTTAGAAAATAAACCTAGTTAACAGCCCCACAAAAGATAGAACCTGTTTTAATCACTTTAGAAAATGTTTTAAAAGGTGATTTCTGTACAAATAATGCTGTCTTTGAATGTACACTCCTTATCTAACTGTACCAAAGAATAAAGTTTAAAGGGTAACATGAAAAAGGGGTACTATTAAGAGACTGCTTAGGTTGTTTACTTCTGGAAACTTAAGCCATTATCAGGTGCTTTGAGACCTTTCTTTTCAACACTGGCCATGTCTTAAAATATGCAGGACAGATTACCAAGGGATTGAGTGGTTAACTAAAGTCTGATGGAATGATTCATTTCAATTTGCCCTGCTTTAAGAAAAGCTTTATGCCTCCTATCAAGAGTAAATATCACACATCCTGTTTATACATACTGGCTTATTGTCCAAGGTTCTTCAAAGAGCTGATGACACCCCCCAACTCACACTCAACCCAACCCCCCAACTTCCTCTCATTGGCGTGATATAGTCCTACTCACTTTAAAGAAGCACCTCCCTCAACAAAACAGTCTGTGTTACAGTAAATTTTAAAGAAAATACTTTATTGTGTCATGAAAAAAGGCATCAATCAACTAGATTCATACTTGTTTGAAAAAAATTTGAAAATTTATTAGACAGTATGTGGACATCCTGTTCCACATGGGAATGAGAAGATGCTATAGGTTCTCTAAGTATTGCACAGTCTGAAAAAACACCAACAAAAAAAAAAAAAAGAGGGGGGGAAGGGGGGGAAAATCACATAATCTTGGGAACCATATCACATTATGAATAATCTACCAAGAAACATAAAAAAAAAACAAAAACCTTTGTTTCTACAGTAGCTTTGAGTTTATAGTTGTTGGAATGACTGTATTCCATTGAAGACATCTCAGTAACAGGAAGCTTCATTTTAACAATCCCATGTGCAAATATTAATAAAAAAATATATAAAATAATGCAATTTATCTCTTGCCATCACCCCGGCAATCATAACATTTGTTAGAACTGTTTTGCTTGAAAATAGTTAAGCTGTAAGTTTTGCCTGAAGCTCCATTTCTGCAGCCCGTTTGAGTGCAACATCCACTAGAAGCTGAAATCCACTAAAATCTTGGTTGAGGTCCGGTGGAGTAGGAGGAGGAGTGTTGAAAAGACCACTTTGTGTATGTGTGCTTGGTCCAGATTTACACGTGTCCTCTGGGTACATGAGGGAGGTGTCTGTAAAGTTGCTGGCCGCTATCTGCTGTATATCTGTGTTTTGTCCCACACCAACTGGCTGACAGAGAGAGAAAGGCACATCTTTCAATGCAGTCACAGTGGTATGACAGATCACTGATGGACGAGCCAGAATTGATCCCGGAGACGACGGCTTAGGGGACAGTGGCCTCCCTAGGGCTGGGTTTGGTCCAGCAGGACAGGAATGAAATGGGCTCTCCTCTAGAGCTGGCATGAAGTTTTTGATGCCCATTGCTGACTCCACAGAGCTCACTTCAGATATCTTGGCCCCACGGCGGGAAATTGTGAACTGATTTGGATCTTTGCCATCCTTTCTCAGCATGTCAGGGAGGAGCCTTCGGCGGGCGTTGATGAACCAGTTACAGACCTGAAATGATTTGGGTATCCTTTAACACTCAGCATACATGTTCTGAGAACCTTCCATAGATGCTTAATTATCTCTTTGCGTTTAAGAAGACATGAAAAGACTTATTGGAACTTACAAAGTTATTCCAACATATTTGAGCCCAGACAAGAAAAAAAACTGCTTCCTATCATAAACCTGCTTCTCTCCAATACAAATTCCCTTGTCTCATCATCCATAAACCTTTTCAGGAGGAAAATAAAGGTATAAATTCTCAAATGTCTAAAAAGTTACTTCAGAGAAGGAGGTTTACCTTTTGACTCCCCCATATTAACCGATTACCTACTGCCCCAGCATTGAAGTTAATCAACTACAGGAAAATCTTTCCTGTATGAAAAGGGCCACTCCCCCAAGTTACTGATTTTTCTCAGTTCAAATCACTGTGTCAACAGACAGACATGAATTACCTCACTGAGGTCTGTCTTTGTTTAAATATCAAACCAGTTTCCTGGGTAATAGAGTAAGATTTAACCTCCTTTTTATGATTGTTGCACAAAGGAAGGCTCTTTTAGGCATTAAAGGAAATGTTATTTGACAGATGACTGTCAAGTGTTTGTTTCTCTAAATAGCCAGTTATTAGCTATCAGCACTAGAAAGTTTAAGAGATACCCCCACCCCAAGCTTTTGAGTCAGGAGGCACTTAATGACTTGACATACAGGAATGCTATAAAATGACTTTAGGGGAAAAAAGAAAGAAACCTGAGTGCATATACCACATGTTCTTTTTTTCCTACCTGTAGTGTAGATAGATGTGTTTGCTGGGACAGCAATGCTTTTTCTTGCTCTGAGGGGTAGGCATTGTATCGGTGCTCATACAACCAATCTCGGAGAATCTGCACAGATTCCTTGGGCAGGTTGCCCCTTCTCCGTCTCTTGCCTGAGCCGGCAGAAGAGGAAAGGTCCAGGGGGATGTCCATGCTGTCATCATCCTCGGTCTCACTGCCGGAGGCGACAACACCTAGGAAAGGACAAAGGCCAGCCGTCAACCGGTTTCATCAGCAGAGCACCTACTGCAAAACTCATCTCTTTGACCATTCAGTGTAAACATGTTTTCTCAACTACTGAGAGGCAGGGGAAGGACCAGTGAGTGTTTTCTGTCCTGAAATACCAGAGCACATGTAAAGGCTCCAGAGTAATTTGACTAGAGGCACATTCTAGGTTCTCAACCAGTCGTCGGATGCCCTTTCATGCCCACTCCGCTAGGATTCAACTTTTCACATTCCTTTGGAATGATCCTCAGAAAAGTCCTTCATGTAATCCAACAGAGGAGACAAAGCCCCACCCCAAGTGAATAACAGCTTGCCACCTGTGCATCAGGAAAGGTGCTACAACAGATGGAATGTGTCTAACAACCTCTTTGAAGTCATTGCTATCTAGGATAAATCTAATGAGTGTTCTATTGTACATTTTAAATGCTATTCTTCCTCCTTCCATTGAAGGTTTGAAATAAAAAGGGAATATCTCTACATTTCTTTCACTGATATGAGGGAAAATCACACTCTTAACCCAGTTAGTGTTCTAAAGATAAAATGCATGTCTAAAGTTTCTGCCAATTCCACGGTCATTTCTTTTTCATGGCTCCTTACATTTATTCAACACCACTTCTAATGGCCAGTACTGGTCACTATTTAGTAAATACAAACAACCAATGAAGTTTTCAGTGTTGTTGCACAAAAAATATTTTTCTACTTGTAAAAGGTCAGAGATGCCTTAACTGAATAAAAATTTAAATTTCATATAAATTTCTACTGCCAGATTAATCTGAACCTAGAACACGAGGTATCAATAAGCAGAGTTGTCTTAATTATATGACAAGAAAACAACAACCCTGAATATGCAATCCCAAAGGAAAATCTCTTGTCTATAAGTACTTTAATTCCACCAGAAATTTTAAGAATTCACACACCATTAAAGGATATTCAAATCACACACAGACTGAGTTCAATAAAAATTCAGACCTGGCCCTTTTAGACATTTAAACATAATTTAGAACTTTATACGCTATTAAACACACACTCCACCCCACCCCCGTGCGTGCGCGCACATACACACACACACACACACACACACCCCACCCCACCCCCGCGCGTGCGCGCACATACACATACACACATACACACACACACACACACACAGAAAGAACATGGGCAACTCTTAGAATGTATTGATCTAAAATTTTAAGGATATAAATGAGTCATAAACTAGTGCATGCTTGAACCTAACAGTACTTCTACATAAAGAAAATTGATTAAACTAACACAAAATTTAAAGTTAGGCATTCTTTGTTGATGCAAACTTAATTGAGTGGTTTGCCTGGATAGGAAATAAAAACAGAATATTCTTCACAGTGATAAACCACTCAATGTACTTGAGGATTTAAAAAAAAACAAAACACCCTTTTAAAGCCTTTTAACACACTGAAACTCAAAGAACTACCCATTCAAAGGTTTGTTGATGAGATACTCCCCAGTTAGTTGAGTCTGACTTTATTTGGCGACACATGGTCAGTTTTGGACTGCAGGGGGCAGAGGTATTGGCGAGTGTCCACAGAAAAGGCAGGACCTTCCTAAGACCAAGTAAACCAAGTTCTAACAAAAGAGCAGGATGAGTAACAAAAACCCACACCTGAAACCTATATGATCATATTGACCAATGTCGCCCCAATAACTTTAATTAAAAAAAGAGCAGAATGAACTTGCAAATTCACTTTAGCTCAAGCCTTATTAAACAGCCATCAATAAACCAATCACAGAAAAATCCTAAATGTTAACCCCATGTATTTGATGTTTCCCTTCCCAGAAGCTTTCATTAAACTGCTTTTTTTTTTAAAAAAAAAAACTTATTTATTGATTTTAGAGAGACAAGAAGGGGGAGAAAGAGAGAAACATTGATTTGTTGTTTCACTTATTTATGCATTCCTTGGTTGATTCTTGTATATGGCCTGGCCAGGGATGGAACCCCAAAACCTTGTGGAGTATGGGGATGACACTCTAACCAACTGAGCTACCCACCCCACAAGGCTCATTAAACTGCTTTAAAAGAAAAAGAGGTACATTTAAAACCGAAACTGCTTTCACTGTTGAAAAGATGAGAAAAATTTTAAACCCATATTAAAATTTGGGTGAAGAGCTCTTCATAAAAAAAAAACTTAATAAATTATAAATGAGTACATTTTATATTTGCAAAGAAATCTAGCTTTTTAACTCTAACTTTTAAATACTTGAGTAACTAAAGCAAATTTGTTTAAACTCCTCAATGTCTGAAAAGCCAGACATTCTTTTCAAAGCTGTTACCCCCCCTCCCTTTTATAAATTTTTTTTAAAGTGTGAAAATTTGCTCATTAAACAGTGAATTGTCAACTGTAAGTTGATAATAACAAAGAATCTAAAACAACAACAAAAAGACCCTGAAGCCTGCACTTCGATCTGCTTCAGTTTGACAAGAAGCCTGAGCTTTTACAACAGGTTAATGACACACAAAAGCAGGTTTCAGTTAAGCAACACCCAACTGCAGTGCGACTTGACTCTGTTCTCAGTTCATTTAAACAAATGAGTGCCAGGCCTCTGGACCTCTTAACAAATATTTCCAATATGTGCACAAAAGCTGAAGTAACAGGAAGTCAAGACTTCAGTTTCTTGGCTACAGCAGCTGATATTTCACCCACGTTTGCTGCTGTCAGGACTATTTTCATTAAAACTCTCCCTCCGGATTGTGGCTCAACTTGGAAAAACAAAAAGACTTTTCCACGTTACTCATTTCCTATTGTAACAGAGCCTTTGAAAAGTTTCCCGGTTACGACTGGTTTCCAAACGTCCTGCTCTCTGCTTACACTTTTTAAAAATATGTGGTTGGGGGGAGGGGTGTGGGATCACAAGCCGCCTTCACTCCATCCACATACAAGGGAATGTTGTTTGGGAAGATGGCCCAGGGCTCCCACCGGTCTGTAAAGCAATCCTCTCCTTTCCGAATAGGAGCTGGGGGTGCGAGGGAGAGCCAGAGAGCAGTGGCTGGATACCTAGAAGAGGCAAGAACCTAGAAGTAGATTCACATAATCGAAGGAAAAGTTTAAGGACACAATTAGGAAAAGGCAAACCTAACCTAACAGACTCCCTGCCCAGAACAGCTCAGAAGCAGCAGGAATCGTACCCCAGCCGAGGAGCAGCCACAGAACAACGTTATCGCAAGAATCCCATGGTCGGGAAGGACGAGCGGAGACTTTGGGGGTTTCCTCAAGGGGCCTCTTTCTGCGTGGCTTAGGACCATTTGGGGGGCTCTTTTCGGCATCCTCTGCTCTCTAAGACGAGACCCTATGATCACTTTTCAGTCTTCCCAAAGCCCGGGCTCTGAGATGGAGTTTAAGGTGATTTTGTTTTCAAGAAAACTTGAAAACAGACTTTTATAAGATAAACAATAGTCCAAGCCGAGG